ATGTATGTCTGCATGTCATTATGAATGTGTGTATGTATGTCTGTCTGTCTGTATGAATGTATGTATGCCGGTATGAATGTATGTCTGTATGTATGGTTGTCAGTGTCTGTATGAATGTATGTATGCCAGTATGAATGTGTGTCTGTATGTATGTATGTCTGTATGTCTGTATGCATGTCTGTATGTATGTCTGTATGCCTGTATGCATGTCTGTATGTGTGTATGAATGTCAGTGTATGTATGTCTGCATGTCATTATGAATGTGTGTGTGTATGTCTGTCTGTCTGTATGAATGTATGTATGTATGCCAGTATGAATGTCGGTCTGTATGTCCTTATGCATGTGTGTCTGTATGTATGTCAGTATGTGTCTGTCACTATGTACGCCTGTGTGTCTGTATATGTATGTCTCAGTATGTGTGTGTTAGTATGTATGCCTATATGCGTATCAGTATGTGTGTCTGTGTGTATGTTAGTATGTGTCTGTCACTATGTACGCCTGTGTGTATGTCTCAGTATGTGTGTGTGTGTCAGTATGTATGCCTATATGCGTATCAGTATGTGTGTCTGTTAGTATGTATCAGTGTGTGTGTGTATCTGTGTCCTTTTGTATCAGTGAATGTGTTTGTGTCTGTGTGTGTATTCCTGTGGGTGGGATTTGGAGGCGGTCTCTGTGGGCGGTTTTGGAGGCGGGCCCCCAGGGGCCCAGACCCTGAGCTCAGTTAGGGGCCCAAAAATTTCTGGTGTCGGCCCTGCACACATACGCATACATACATACACACACATACATAAACACAGACAGACAGACACATACAGACACACACACACACTCATATAGACACATATATACAGACATACACACAGACACATGTCTCTGTATTTATGTCTGTATGTATGATACAGACACATACATACAGAGACACAGACACATACATATAGATACACACACATATACATACAGACACACACACACACACACACTCATATAGACACATACATACAGACATACACATACAGACACATTCACACAGACACATACATACAGACATACACACAGACACACACACTCATACAGACACATACATACAGACATAAACACAGATACATACAAAATATTTAAGTCACCCTCCTGTTTCCTACCTTTTCCCTGGGATCCAGTGGGGCTCAGGCTGATGGGAGTCAGAGTTCCCACTCTGACTCCCTCCTCCTTCCTCCCGCGCGGCTCTGTCAGATAGCTGGGAGGAGTGACCGGGGCAGTCACTTCCTCATCATCTCAGGGAAATCCATCTCCATCAGGTGGCCCTGACAGCATGGGCCACCCGATGGACTCCTTCACGTGCGGCCCTGGCGGTTTGCCATGCGGGCCTGGGCCGCAAAACATGGCGGCGGGTAACTGGTCGCAGGGGTCCACAGGGAGGCCGGGCCCCCTGACAGGCCCCGTCGAAGCTGCAAGTCCTGCGACCGCAGAATGTACGCCAGTGACTGCCCCACAACACCACTCACATTAACAAAATGTTAGCCAGCACAGGAGCGATGGGAAGGTGCCACAGGCTGCTGGGTACCCTAATTCACGGTCAATTATAAGTAAATAATTTCACGTGACCTGAGGGACAGCACCAGGGCATTCCATCCTTCAAAATCACTTCGAAGAGACTGGGTGGTTATGGTGCCCAGAGTGTTTCTTTAAATTGGCACTGTCGACCCCATTTTAAAAATGAGTATTTCAAAAAGATAGAATCTTTATGAAATACTCATTATGACTGTAACGGAGCTCCTTGTACTCCGACCGAGTACCCTCCGTTGATAGATGCTCCTAGCGCTTCCTGAGGACTCCAAACACTGCAGCAGACACCACAACCACCACAGACTCCACAACCGCCGTAGCTTAACTGGAGTCTCGCCGTCTTCCTTCCACCCTGGATCAGCTTCTGTCCTCCAGGAGAGCATAACAGGAACAGCTCTTAAAAGAGCTAAGTGACTCAAGCTCAGGGGAGCACGCAGAGCATAGCAATCCCCAGTGTGATTATAACAGCTCCCTCCAATAACGAGACAAGGCTACGTTTAGAGGGATCAAGAAGAACTGTCAAAACCTTTATTCCCTTGGGACCAGCCAATACAGTCACCACAATAACATTGTTGTGAAACCTCAATAAAATCACAAACAGTCAAACCATATCAAGAAACACACAGTGACTTATCACAACACAATGGTACATTTTTAAAGGGGTGGGGGGAGACAATATTTAACAGTAAATATCTCACCTGCCTGCAGAATTAGAAATATGCAAATCTACCCGAATATGCAAATGAACCAGTCTTGCAATTCAGGTAGTGCATATTGCTGTTGCTACCAACAGAGGGCACTAGACAAGCTCCATAGCCAAACCCACCTAGTTGGTAGCAAACCTCAGCAGTGCAGGAGAGAAGGCAATACATTTCACAGTACACACACACACTATAAACAATTACATTACACACACCCTGCACCTATAATGGGTACAGGGTGACTAAAACATAAGGGGAATAAAGCAACCTACATAAATAGTCTGTCTGAAGGTAGACTAGGGGCTTTAAAGGCAAATACATCAAAGAGTCATAGTCACAGGGGAGGAGGCTGGCAAGCAGGCCTCTCCAGTACCAAGTGGCGAAGGGCACTTCGTCACAATGACTGTTTTGGAATTTCACTAAAATTCGAACCCGGTCAAGAGATATACAGAGACAGGACTACTTTGTATTTCACCTCCACCTGACACATGACACTTCCTGACACAAGGCGAAGTGACATCATCATTGACCTCAATGGATGAGCGAGAGTACAGCAGTGACCTCGGCTCCTGGCACTTAAGCAGCGCAACTAAGATGGCGGTAAGTTATCTCACCCTTAACTACCCCCGCGGGCACCGGACCATCAGTGGCGATGTGACCATTGGGGGACTTTGGAAATTCGGCAAAGTCCCCCGATGGTGACAATGCTGTTTTTACATCTCTCACTCCGTGACAGGTTGTGCTCCCCAGCTTTCTGTTTCTTTCCAGCTATTTATCTGCCAGCCTCTCTTGTCTTTTTGTGAATTTGTTTTCATCCATTTTTGCTGTTTACTTGAAAGCAGCAATTATTAGTGTAGGGCCCACCTAAGAGGTTTTACCTTGACACAGCAGGTGACCTTACACTTTAAAGAGATACTATAGGCATCACTACAGCTTTAGCTTTTGTGGTGTATAGATTATGCCCCATGCAGTCTCACTGCTCAATTCAAAGTGTGCTCCGTTTCCTGTGGTCAGAGAAATTTTCCCACAATTCTCACCTTTCCTCCGTGATCTCGCAATGTTTCCTGTCAGTGATCCCGAATGCCAGCAAAACTACAGAATTTTGTCCTAACAGAATGAGAACAGTTTCTCAATTCGTGTTAGAACGCAATTCGGGATTTTGTTCGGATCAGAATTTTATTCAAATTAATTACACTCTGATCCTATTCGTGCCGTGGCTGCATCTTGCAGCCGCTTAGTAGATAGCTCCCTAATTCCCACGGTATCAGGGAACTATCTACCAAAAGGCTGAAAGACCTAAATTGGTCTTTCAGTCAAATTTACTAATACTAAGTAAAGATTACTTAGTATTAGTAAATTCTAGCCCTTCTTGCTATATCGCGAGTAGGGGCATGTCTATTAAACAGTGAGCAGACTGTGGCTGCTCACTGTTGTAAAAACAAAACAAACCCCCCCCCCCCTAGTATCCACCCTCCCGAGCACCCACCAGAGCCGTGCGAGTGGGGGCTATTAAACTGAAGGGGGGACCTAGCGTCCTCCCCCAGCCCCCATACATGAGAGGTGGGGGCCCTAAATGAAAATGGGGGGAAACACCTATTGTCCTCCTCCCTGGCCCTCACCCATGAGCGGCGGGTGGGGACCCTAAATTACAATAGGGGGGGACCTATTGTCCTCACCCCCAACTCTCACCCATGAGCTAGTTATTAGATACCCCACCATGGGGCCATTTGTTAGAAGGGGGGGATCACAGGCTGCTCACTGTTAAGTAGACATGCCCCTACTCGCAGCATAGCGAGTAGGGGCATTCAGGAGATTTCAATCTCCCTAAAGCTAATATGGGGGTCATATTGACCCCCATAGAGTGAGGGAGGACATGGGAGAGCTTAGGAAGTGGCGGGTAGCACTGCTCCCTGCCGCTTCTATTTTTACATTTTACAAGGAGGGAGCTGTGCGCCGGGTAGCTCCCTCTTAGTAGTAAACTAATCGAACCAACAGACAAACACCGATAATCGGTGTTTGTTTGTCTGCCATTTCTATTCATTCCTTTGTCTTTCTGACGAATGAATAGATGAAATTCCCGTTCGCATGTCCAAGTGTTTAACTGGGCATGCGCAGGAATTTCACAGCGCTATCTAGTGTGGTCAGATGACGTGTCCCACAGGGCTATCATCTACCCGCACAAAGATGGCGGCGCCCAGGACCTAGGTCCGGGCACGAAATAAAGATTAAAAAATAGGTAATATGGGGGGCTTAGGGGCATTTGGGGTGACTAGGGGGACAATTAAATGCAGTGGAGTCGGGAGGGGGGTGGGGGTTAAAAAATAACTGGATTGGACCATGACAGTGCCGCTTTAATCTGTGCTTGTAAGTGAGATAAAATATATTGGCCAAATGCTGGAGCTGTAGAGATAACCTTTCTATTCAAAGGATGTGTTCCAGGTCCAGTTATGGGAGCTTGGTAATATAATCTGCATTATAAGCAATTGCTAGTTCTAAATTATATTATAGGGGCGGGGGTGTATAAGGACATTTAGTACAGTTTAGGTTTAGATGTTAACTGCAATGCTTAATAAATACACAGAAGTAACATGTTTAAAGCATGAATGTGCCAAACACTGGATCTCACCCCTCTGTGTGATGTATTTCCATTTACTGTGACACCTGACACTGTTAATGTCTCTCAATGTCACCCACACTCTGCCCTCTGACCTCCTGTCCCTTTAAAAATGGCGGCCACCCAGCGCGGCTTCACTTGCCCATACTCGGCTTCGCTCTGCCATTGGCTGATCTCCAGTGACGTCACGTTAAGGGCCACCTGCTAACAGGAGAGAGGGAAGATGGCCGAGGCTGGGAGAGAGGACAAGGAGTTGGAAGAGCTGCTGGACAGTAAGAGCTGATTTTACATCTGATTTAGGTTGCTGGGAATAGACAGAGCAGTCCTGGAGGGGGAGGGGGTCTGTCAACATGGGGGGGGCTGGTCTGTCTGTGCTGTGTATTTGGGGGTCAGTATGGGGGGCTGCACAATGTCCCTGGCTGGTATACATGGAGGTGCTGTCTGTGCTGTGTATTTGGGGAAGGGGGTGTCAGTATTGGGCTGCACTGCCCTGGCTGGTATACATGGAGAGGAGGAGGGGTCTGCCAACTTGGGGTGTACTAGGGGGCTGGTCTGTCTGTGTATTTGGGGGTCAGTATTGGGGCTGCACACTGTCCCTGGCTGGTATACATGGAGGAGGATGGGGTGTACTGGGGGCTGGTCTGTCTGTACTGTGTATTTGGGGGTTAGTATTGGGGCTGCACAGTGTCCCTGGCTGGTATACATGGAGGGGAAGGGGTCTGTCAACATGGGGGGCTGGTCTGTCTGTGCTAGTATTTGGGGGTCAGTATTGGGGGCTGCACACTGTCCCTAGCTGGTATACATGGAGGAGGATGGGTCTGTCTGTACTGTGTATTTCGGGGGGTGTCAGTATTGGGGGCTGCACAGTGTCCCTGGCTGGTATACATGGAGGAGGATGGGTCTGTCTGTACTGTGTATTTCGGGGGGTGTCAGTATTGGGGGCTGCACAGTGTCCCTGGCTGGTATACATGGAGGGGAAGGGGTCTGTCAACATGGGGGGCTGGTCTGTCTGTGCTAGTATTTGGGTGTCAGTATTGGGGGCTGCACAGTGTCCCTGGCTGGTATACATGGAGGAGGATGGGTCTGTCTGTACTGTGTATTTCGGGGGGTGTCAGTATTGGGTGCTGCACAGTCCCTGGCTGGTATACATTGGGGGATTACATTAAAATCAGAGCTGGGGTGAGGTGCCGATGTAATACACCCACCTAACCGTCAGACCTTTTACCTGCCCAGGTACATGCTGCTGAGAATCAGGGAGATGGACTTTGATCTCATTGTGTGACACCAATACCTGTTACTGTCCCTTTAATAACTGCTGTTTAGAGTAATGCATTGTGGGTTAACACTTGGCATGCTGACCCCAGGGCTGTTTTACTCTGTGTCATCAAACCCTCTCTGCTGGTTAAACATTGTGTCACATGGCTTCCATATACTAAAACTAGCCAAACTCAGTCATTGTTAACCTTGTCCCTTCAGCTCTTGCGGACAACAACTCTCACCATGATCAGCCAGCCACACTGGTTAGTGTTAGTTGGTTTTCTCTCTTTAGTCACCTAGTCTGTTTCTATAAGTGTTTTATTTCACTTGATATTTAGTTGACACTACATTTAAAAACTGAATTGCAAAATTTAGCCCAAAATCTCCAGGTTTAATGTACAAAGGAGCTTGAAATCAAAACTGAGACTTCTTGTCTGGATTTTTGCAATTTTTTTTTCAGTTAACTACAGTTTGGTGTTTTAGCATATAAACTAAACCTTTCTAGAAATGCACTTTTTTCCCCCTATTTTGTCACTTTGTGTATTACTTTGATTTAAAGCGCCTTTATGTTCTGCATAATTTGGCAGATTTACATTTTTTGATCGAGGTCAATTGTGTGTGTGTGTGTGTGTGTTCGTTAAATATCTATCACATGTACATATTTGTAGATGTAAAATTAATAGTATTTACCCCATATGGGTTAATAATGCCATTTCCTGCCATGGTTAACTCCACCTCTAGTGGCTGTCTACCAGACAATCACTAGAAGGACTTCTGGGTGGTTAAGCGACTTTTGGTTGCCTAACTGACGCTGGACGTCCTCACACTGTGCATAAGGACATCCGAAACCTCTTAGGAAAGCATTATACAATATTTTGCTTAGGAGGAAGTAACTGCAATTACCGGACATGCGCATTAGGTCCCGCTGACAGTGGGGGAGGAGCAAAGGTGTAGCCTGAACCAACGTCGAGGGACACCCCTTCTGCACCACAGAGGGAGGGCGCTATAGGGAACACAACTTATGGTGCCAGGAGGCCCCTGGGCACTTTCTTGTCTGAAGGTATAAAACTGTTCTCAAACATTTTAACCCCAAAGGTTGCCTCCAGTGCTGGTTATGCAGTTCTCCTGGCGGTATCCAGCTTCTGAAAATGAGTTTCAGCAGTAATTCTAATCAGTCAGCGGCGTCCATGCTTGGCGGCACTCCATGGTTTCAGAAGGCAGATGCCGCTGGAGGAACTAAACATCTGGTGCTGGAGGCAACCTTTAGGGTTAAACCGTTTGAGTACAGTTTAGAAAGCACCCATTGGCCTCCTTGAACCATAACAACTTAATATTGATGAGTGTTCATTTTTAACTTTATTTCACTCATTGCACTTTCCCTCAGTCCTTCTGACATCTTTGAGAGTCAGTCTATTGGGTGATCAAGAGGTGAAGTCATGTGTCACAAATTGTGATACATAGTAGGTTTGAGGTTATTCATTTTGTCGATTTTTATAGATACTGTGTAAACATTTTCAGATGCAATATTGACTCCTCTATACGAGTCCTAGCACAAAATATAGGTAACATTATAGCTAGATTAACATTAGTCTTTAGTGTTGAAAAATTGGTTACATATAGAACTATATAATGGACCTCTTTATCATTTATTGACGGAAGACCATAAACAACTAGAATTTTTTTTTTTTTTTTTTTCTACACTTGGGGAAAGCTTACCAACTGTAATCTTCCTTCAAAGAAGTAGTGCTAGATTACAGAGACACTAGCAGAGAGTGCAGGTGTCATGACCTCTCCCTGCCTCTACATTATGTCCTCTCCTTTCTACCCATGAACAGCGTTTTGCTGATGCTCTCTGGGATCTCAATGGAAGCATAGCAGGCACACTCTGCACAGTATAGTATTCATTGTGATCTCACCATGCTATCTAATGAATATAGGAGTAAGCCGCTATGTTCTGTTCCGTAGCGCCTTTTCCCAATAGTCACAACACACAGAACTTCTGATGAAGTGATCATTTGAATCATGAAACGCGTAAGGCAGCATCGGTTCTTACAACACAAACGAGTGCAGCGAAGTGGAATGCAAATGGACTGCAGTGGAACGCACGCAGGTATCAACTAGCGGCAAACCTCTATTCCATACACCTCACTGTCTCCAAGGCCGGCAATTGGGAGAGAATTGAGGGGACACAGATGTAGACTAAGGTCTAGTTCTAGGCGTTGTGCCACATATGCCTGGTTCTAATTATATTTTACATGTTCTACTTTTAGACAACTTAATCCTCTTAATTAATTTGATGTTGTTGATCAGAAAGACTTAAATAAGTCTGTTCTTCTTGACAGGTGCTCTCGATGATTTTGAAAAGACCAGCCAACCACCAAATCCTGTAGACACTAGTACAAACGATGCTCAACCAGAAAGATCTCCAGGAGATACTGCTAAGGTAAGTCACTTGAAATCTCTGTTTTCTTCTTCCTGCTTTAGAAGTAAGTTACCTAAGTTGCCTCTCTGTCCTCTGCAGGATGCACTGTTCACCTCCCAGGAGAAGTTCTTTCAAGAGTTATTTAACAGTGAGATGGCTGCTCAGGCCACAGAAGAGTTCGAGAAGGCTATGAAGGAACTGGCTGATGAAGAACCCCATCTTGTAGAGCAATTCCAGAAGCTGTCAGAGGCTGCAGGCAAAGTTGGTAAGTTGATAAGCCTACATTACATTCCCTACCATGTCCTTCTTTAAATTTGGAGCAGATAGGAAGATTGTGAATATGTTTGTCAAGCATTTATTTATTTTTGGAGGGCAAACAATCTTCAATATCCAAAACAGTGGCATAAATGAGTGTCTAGTACAGGTGTAGGCAACCTTCAGCACTGAAGATGTTGTAGACTACATCTCCCCTGATGCATTACCAGCTTTATGGCTGTAAGCGCATTCTGCGATATGTAGTCCACGACATCTGGAGTGCCAAAGGTTGCCTACTCGTGGTCTAGTAGGATGGGAGTTGGTATGAGGGTGAATCTATTCTGGGCTGCTTTGATCCTCTGACATTGCAATCAGCTTTTTGTTTGTGCCCACTTAATCCTTTGTAGCTTGGTGAAGCAGAAAACTGGTATGAAATAACTGGGTCCTATTCTTCTAATAAACCCATAAAATGTTTTGCCACTGCAAGCCTTGAAGCTATGAGGCACACTATATCATTTCTACTCTGGAGTGTTACATTTTCTCTTCCCAGTGGCTAGGGGAAATTTTGAGCCATGATCTAACTATACTGGTTTTAAAACCGTTTTACATAAATGACAACATTCACAATAGAAGTGTGAACCAGAAACACAGACCTCTGTTCCTTCACCATAAGTACTGGGGGTATAGATTCTAGCACATTAAAATTCCAAGGAGGCAGGTGTCCATATCTACAAAGGACATTTGTTCAAGTAACTTACTAATAATTAAACTCCATAAAGCAGTGTGTTTAAAAAACGTAATTAAGGTCCCTTTAACAGCGATTTATATGATGTGATCTGCCTCTCTCATCTCATAGGAAGTGATGAAGCATCACAGCAAGAATTTACTTCCTGTTTGAAGCAAACCCTAACAGGACTGGCAAAAAATGCAGATGAGCTGCAGGTATGAATTTTTTGATGGCTAATTAAATATCATATATTGCTTTTTTTTTTTTTTTTTTAATTCCGAAACCTTTTCTTCAAATGTGTATTCATGAAACCTAAACTTTGATTCATGCTTTGTGTTTCAGTAGTCCAGAACCAAACCGTTTTGCATTGTTAGTGTATTCATGTATATTACTATAGATTATAATCCTGATTGTACATCCTTTGGCCATATCTCACAAGGCCTACAAGATGGTCTGAGGTTGCTATGACTGTAGGTTCCCTGTGTAGCTGCACATAAGAGCTAAAAAATATTTGATACGTTTGGTGCAGAAGCTTCAGGGCAAACTATTTATTTATTAAGTGATAATTGTTGCAAAGTGAATTCCAGATTGCAGACTAAAGTAGCCGGACTGGAAGCATAATTAAAGCATTTTTTTCAATTTAGCTACTTTGGCCTTAGCTTTGAAATTCTGCTTAAATTCCTGACATTTCTCACCTTTTAATAAATAAACCTGACCATTTGAATTAATAAAAATTCATACATGGGGTTGTTAATTCCTATGTCCATTGCATTCTGTTTTGGCTATGTAGTATTTCCATCATGGGCCACAAGTGGGCTCTATAGGTTTTATCTGAGCTGGAACTAGATGTTTCAGGCCACTGACATTGCTAAGGATTATGGGAGCTGTAGTTCAGCAGCTGAAATGTGTCCTGCTGGTTAATCTTTCCTTGTGCCATAATTGTAATATATGCAGCCATCTTTCTCTCAGAATTCTAGTCTGTCAGAGGAAGAACTTGCCAAAGCGATGGATGGGCTTGGAATGGATGAAGGTGATGGAGATGGGAACATCCTTCCTCTAATGCAGAATATCATGCAGAGCCTTCTTTCCAAAGAAGTACTCTACCCATCCCTCAAAGAGATCACAGAAAAGGTGAGTGCTGGGGCCCTCCTATCATCATAATAGGATGGCAAATAGCTTTTCTTTTAAGGAAAGAATCCACAAGAAATCAGATACCAAGCTGAGCTTACAGGGATACTGTAGGCATCAAAACAACTTTAGCTTAATGAAGCAGTTTTGGTGTATATATCATGCCCCATGCTCAATTCTTTGCCATTTAGGAGTAAAATAATTTTGTTTATGCAGCTCTGGCCACAGCTCCCTGCATGTGACTCGCATAGCCTGGTTTCATTTTTAATAAGATCTTAACTGACCTTAGAAGTTATTTCCTGCTCTATAAAGTGAAATTTAGTCACACACGGGAGGCTCCTGCAGGATATTAACAGGGAAGGAGATTAGACATTCTACATTAAGCAGACTGTGCAATCAAAGTTTAAACATTAGATCGATCTCCCTTTACAGGAAGTGTTTAGGAAGGCTGTTCAAGTCACATGCAGGGAGGTGTGGCTAGGGCTGCATAAACAAAGTGATTTAAATCCTTAAAGGGACACTCCAGGCACCCAGACCACTTCTGCCCATTGGAGTGGTCTGTGTGCCAACTCCCACTACTCCTAACCCTGCAAGTGTAATTATTGCAGTTTTTTGTTTTTAAACTGCAATAATTACATTGCAGGGTTACCTCCACCTCTAGTGGCTGTCTTATCTACTAGACAGCCACTAGAGGGCACTTCCTGATTCATAGCAAAGATTTTCTTTGCTAGAGCGTCGCTAGACGTCCTCACGCATGCGCATCAGGTTTCCTCAGCCGGCGGGCGGGATCAGTCTCGCCCACCGGCTGACGTAATTACTGGGAGGAGCGACGCCGACCCGAAACCACAGCCGAGGGACATTGGCAGGGTCTCTGGTAAGTGACCTGAAGGGGTTTTCACCCCTTCAGCTACCTGAGGTGGGAGGGAGAGGGGACCTGCAGTGCCAGGAAAACGGATTGTTTTCCTGGCACTGGAGTTTCCCTTTAATGACAGAATTAAGCAGTGAGGCTGCAGGGGCATGACCTATACAACAAAACTGCTTCATTAAGCTAAAGTTTTTTTGGTGACTGTTGTATCCATTTTAGGTTTAACCTGCCTACTTTGTAAAGTATTTTTAATAGTATTTATATAGTGCCAACATTTTCTGGAGCTCTTTTAAATTTTAGCAAATGGCTATTTAGAGATGAATCTGAATTTTATAGATTATTAGGTGTCTTTCCAAAGGACACTTACTGGGATTTCTGGTTCTAAGCCAATATACATGACCCCCACAGTTCTTTGGCCTGCCATTTTATTGTTTGTGGGTAACCTGATGCCAGTGATGCAGTCTTATCATTGTATTTAAAGGGACACCCTGAGCAGGATGACCCCTGCAGCTCGTGTACTAGTAATAGTTTATAATTTCTCTGCGTCACTTAACGGTGTTTATGTCAAACCATTCGGGAGCATTTGACAAACATTGAGGCCCTTCCCTCCACATTTAGACTGCCCTCTCCATGGTTGCGGTAATGTAGACTTTACTCTTCCGTATTATCGTTGCCAGTTCTGTTACTTAATCCACAATGATGGTTCTGAGTGCTGGGTCTAACTTGCTCCCCAGTTCATTCTGACAATCACATCAGACAAAATTGATCCTGAAAATGTAAACTCTTCATTGTCCATGCAGAAAATATGGTGGCAGTCTTAAAGTACTAACGAGAGCCTTGCATTCTTTCAATCTGTTCCTAAATTGTATCACCAAGAACCGGAAGATGGAGCCAACAAACTAGTGACAACATAACCACAACAATTAACAGTAGTGGTTTATGTTGCATCATGTCCCTTTAAAGGACCACTATAGGCACCCAGACCACTTCGGCTGTCTGGGTGCCAGGTCCCCCTAGTTTTAACCCTGCAGCTGTAAAAATGTTTACATTGAGGGTTAATCCAGCCTCTAGTGGCTCTCACTGACAGCCACTAGAGGCCGCTTCTGCGATTCTCACTGTGAAAATCAGTGAGAAGACGCTGACGTCCATAGGAAAGAATTGAGTAATTCTTTCCTTTGGGCGGTTTGAAGAGATCTGCGCGCGCATTGGGCGCTGACGCCGGCAGGAGGAAGAGCGTTCCCCAGTGCCTAGGAAGCCCGGCGCTGGAGAAAGGTAAGTGGCTGAAGGGGTTTTAACACCTTCAGTCCAGTGGGAGGGGGGCCATGAGGGTGGGGGGACCTAAGGACCACATAGTGCCAGGAAAACTAGTTTGTTTTCCTGGCATTAGTCGTCCTTTAAGATTTGTTTTCAGGCTTAGAATGTCTTTTAGAATTGCTTACCGCTAAATAAAAATATTGATAAAGCAAGTGGATGCCTTGATTTATAGTGACCAACTGCTGTGTGTTGTTTCTGTGTCTTTAAATTAAGGGAGGATCATACGCTTGATGGTTAAAGGGTAACTGACTTTCCAGGATTGTTAATATTTGGTTTGCTTCTCCTTATATTTAACAAATATGCAGTTGTGAGGTGTAAAAATCCACATCTGTTTATCCAGTAACTTATCACCTGCGTTTTAGATATCTGTCAATAATTGCTCTAATCTCTGTCCTCCCTCTGTTTTGTAACCTGTAAGTCAGCATAGAGAAAGTATGCAGAGAAGAGGAGAAATTAACTGCAATTTCACTTATCTTCTGTGCTATTGGTTATGGAAAATATATATATTTTGTGTCTGAGGATTTTACGTGTACCCATAGTACACCTATATCTTTATTGCAACTTAGCCAAGCGATCAAGTCTGACATTGTAGTGGTTACGGTGACTATAGTGTTCCTTTTAATCTGCAGTGACCTGGCACTGAGCATGAGTGCGGCCATCTTGACTTGGCAGTATAGGACATCACATTGCTTGCATTTGCGTGCTTTTATCGTTCTTATCTACACTTGGCGACTCTTCTGTGTTGCAAGAGCAACACGGCGTCATTAACCCGTTCTCTCCAGGGCAATATGCGATTATGGTGTGTCCTCTCCCTTATTCTTTCACCCAGTATCCGGACTGGCTGCGGACGAATCGGGAAACACTAGCAGCTGACGACTATCGCAAGTACCAGGACCAGCACACCCTAATGGAGAAGATCTGCCAGCAGTTCGAGGTGGAGGATCAGGGAGAAGGTGACACAGCGCGTTTCGAGGCAGTAATGGACCTCATGCAGCAGGTATGTCAACATGTATTTCATGACTGTATTAAACACCTACCAGGTTCTCCATTCTAACATAAGTTTGAAATCTATCAGTCTATCCAAAACAAACCAGATTTCTTAAAGTATTTCATATTTAGTAAATGGACAGTCTAACCCCCTTAACACTTACTGCTTGTTGTAGTACTTTCATACAAGAAAAGATCTGCTATGCGTACAGTATTTAAAGTAACACTGCAGGGTCAGGAACACAAACCTGTATTCCTGGGCCCGTCATGCCTCCCTATATATAGTAAAATCTTACTTGTATTCAAACCTGAAGCTGCTGGCTCTGCCCTGTCTGCCTAAAACCAGCAAGCAGTCTGCTGACATCAGAAGTGGTGGCCTGATCCAATCACAATGCTTCTCCATAGGTTTGGGTGAGACTGACAAGGAGGCAGATCGGGGCAGAGCAAGCACAATTCAAACACCGTCCTGGCCAATCAGCATCTCCTCATAGAGATGAATTGAATCAATGAATCTCTGAGGAAAGTTCAGTTTCTGCATGCAGAGGGAAGAGACACTGAATGTTTAGATGCATTTTAGGCAGCCATGACCCAGGAAGGATCTCTAACAGCCATCTGAGGAGTGGCCAGTGAAGTTATCACTAGGCTGTAATGTAAACACTGCATTTTCTCTGAAAAGACAGTGCTTACAGCAAAAAGCCTGAAGGTAATGATTCTACTCACCAGAACAAATTCAATAAGCTGTAGTTGTTCTGGTGACTATAGTGTCCCTTTTTAAAGTATGTGATAGTCGCAATACAAGAATAATTTCAATTTTAAATGATTTACTATAAAATGCTTAACATCTAAACAAAAACTTCGACTTTAAATCCACACGTAAATGTGTAGCCGTTACCAACAAAGTATATAGATTGGCACACAGACACAATAAATAAAGAATTCACTCAGATGGTACAGACATGGGGGGGGAAAAGAGAGAAACAAGATGCATAGTATATAAACACAACTGAGGTGTAATCTCACAATGGGGTCAGACTTCCATAAATTACCACTATATTCAAATCACTTGTTCAAGGTAAGGAACATTAAAAAAATGACACCAGGGGGCGGAGCCTAGCACTGGACCGGAGCGGACGCACATTGCCGGAGCTCCGAGGTACCGCACGGCAATCCGGCAATATCGGAGGCATCTCGCACTAATCCCGGCCACACATTCAGTCACAGCCCGCAGGGAACCTCACTGCGACCGCCGATGCCGTTTCTCCTGACGCCCGGCTCAAAAAATAGATGCCGAGGCGGCAAGGCCTACCGGGCGGGGAGGCAACCTCAACCCAACACGGGAGAACATTGGCCCTGGAGTGTCCCAGACTTTGAGGACTGGTACCCCAGCACACACCGCTCAGGTGAGATGGGGCGCAGAACGCAGAAACTGCCCCAAAATGCCCCAAAACCGCAGCGCGACATAGGCCAAATGCTACAGGCCCCAAGCGCAGTAAAGGCACAGACCCCCCGTGAAACCTCCCCGGCACCATCAGAGGAGGGAGAATCGCTAGACAGCCCACACCTCAATCCCCAACACCCCACACACGTGGATGCCAGAAGCCAGCGCACCGGCCTCCAAACAAGATATACAGGCTATGCTGACAGGCCTGCAACAGAACCTAAGACAAATGTGGGAAGCGGACCTGGCAGTGCTTAAACTAGACGTGCACGCCGTGTCCACTCGCACTCAGGCGGTAGAAGAGGAGGTAAAGGGACTAAGAGAGAACTACCAGGAATTGGGGGAGACGGTGCGACACCTTCAAGCTGCACAAGCAACAATGTCCAGGCAAGTTACCCTCCTAGATGATAGGGGACGCCGAAAAAACATAAAAATCCGAGGGGTGCCTGAATCAATACCGCTGGAAGAGTTGCCACATTTCATCAGACGCCTTGTGGCCACACTCCTGCCAACTAGACAATCTAAATCGTTCCAGTTCGACGGGGTTTACAGGATAGCCAAATCCCCACAAGCACCCAACTCAGCCCCACGAGACATAATATTGAGATGCCAATCAATGTTGGACAAACTGGGGCTAATGGCCGCTATACAAGGGAAGACACCTCTTGACTTTGAAGACAGCAAACTTTCCTTCTTTCAGGACTTGAGCAGGGCCACACTGATATGGCGCAAAAGTATGCAACCAATCACCAAACAACTCCAAGCCGCAGGAGTAGCCTATAGATGGGCAACACCAGGAACTCTCTGGATCACTAAAGATGACAAGCACTACAGAGCCACCGACCACGCAGAGGGCCCAGCACTGATGACGCATTGGGAATATCGAACCTCGCAGCGACCTCAATGACACAGACAGCTCATCGACCAGGGACAACGAGCACAGATTCAACCGCAACCCCTGGAACAAGCAGAGGCCCGAAAACCAAAACCTGAACGAACTGCCTCACCGACGGCCTCATAGGCCTTAGTTTCACTAGTTTAAATATTTTAAGTTGATAAATCTGTTTATTTAAGTTAAATGTAGTTCTCCCACACTCTGACGGCTATAACAGTGCTAAAAAGGCCCACCAGAGCCACGCACACCAGCTCCGATAACAATCCCCCCCCCTCCCTTGGGTTAATGGGAAACGACATCACAGGCGACATAGTAACCCTGACTGGAATCAAGCTCACCGCAAGGTCTGATGCCCCAAGGGCACAACTTGATCCTGTCACACTACAGCGACCTATATATATACCTAGACACGAATTTATAGTTACCACTAGGGCCAAAAAGACACCTTGGGACACCTAGAGCACCACACACATGGGTACCCACCAATAGCTACAACCAGAAAAAAAAAAAAAAAAGAAGAGGAGCGGACATAGTCCTAGAAAGGGCACAAATAGAGAGACCCCGTAACTACCGCAATCCGCTTCCTTATCCAAACTCGAAAGGGTCAAGAGACACACCCAACACCCATAACCTATAGTCGCACGACCTGGAATTGGGAACAGCCACTGGACCTAGCTGTAAATGCCTTTCCCCCTCCACCCACGACTCCGCAGACCTTAGGGTGTCTTAGGCAGACAGAAGTCTTCCACCCCCACAGTTATTGGATTTTAAAACCTCATTATAACAATGTGACCTATTGTAAATCTAAAATGTGGGTGACTAGCACACAACAATGCCTTGTATTTAATATGTACTGATTCTAATCGTTGTGTAGAGGCTGTTGTGGCCAACTTCATGAATCTGTTATCTTTCCACATGAAAAATAAAGAATTCAAAAAAAAATAAAAAATAAAAATGACACCACTGAGAGGTCCAGGTCCAGTAAGGATAATGGAAATGAATTCAGTCTACTACTTTTTTATTTAGAGAGCAAAATCACTGTATAAATTATAATCCAAAAAAGGAAACCATAATTCATCACAAATAGTGAGTGAAACAACACACAGAAACCAAGTGTTTCTTCACACTTTCCATACACTTTCTTCACGTGAACACTTGATTTTTGTGAATACACTTCTGATCCCATTATGGGATTACACCTCACTTTGTGTGTTTCCTTTCTATTCGAAGATACATGGTATAATATTGTTTTGTATCAATTTTAAGGAATGTTTTAAATAAACTGATACTCTCAAACAAGGAACAGGGGAAGGCTGCTCAGACTATAAAGGCTCCAGCTATCATATAATATTGTGATCAAAATGTTTGTCCTTAAAGTTGCACTATCGTGCCAAACATAACTTTCTCCTATTGTTTCTGTTTCTCTTCCTTTCTCAGAATCTGTTATTCTTTTCTTTATTTCTGATCTAGTTTTCTTTAAAACATAAGACAAAGTAGGGCTTACTTTGTCTGATGAATTTTTCCTATGCCTCACTTATTCTGACACAAGGAGTTGCTTAAACGGATCCTATAGTGACAGGAAAACAAACTAGTTTTCCTGGCACTATAGGCTTTTGGAGAGCCCCCCTCGCTCAACGCTGAAGGGGTTAAAACCCCTTCATCCATTTACATTAATCCACGTCGGCTCCCGAGTGGAGCCGAATACACATGTGCGGCCAGAGCCGCGCGCGCATTCAAACCCACCCATAGGAAATCATTACTCAATCCTTCCCTAAGGGGATCTTATTTGACGCTGGACTCCGTGAGGACGTCCAGTGTCAGATAAGTGCGATTTACTCCGTGTAAATCTTCGAAGCGGCTTCTAGTGGCTGTCAGGGAGACAGCCACTAGAGGCTGGATTAACCCTATGTTTTCAGCTGCAGGGTTAAAACTAGGGGGACCTGGCACACAGACCACTTCATTGAGCTGAAGTGGTCTAGGTGCCTATAGTGGTCCTTTTAAGTCAGCTCTATTTCCTGTGTCAAGGAGAAGGGTGAGTACTATTTCTGACACAAGAAATTAAGCTGATTTTAAGCTCCTCCTTGTCAAGAAAGTCAGGCGTCGGAAAAATACATATGACAAAGTAGTCTCTACTTTTATCTAATTAAAAACTTTTTAAAATTAATCTGATATGGAACTAATAGGAGAAAGGTACGTTTGGCGGGACAGTACCACTTTGAGGTCTATAATGATATCTGTAATGTCCTTTTTAAAGCGGCACTGTCACCGTCTGGGGACTTTGCAAAATCCGCAAAGACACATCCCATCTTCTCTTAGCAGATCCTCTTCAGCTCTTGGCACTTCAGTGCCAGGATCCGACTTCACTGCTGTACTCTCTTGCACACACTTCTTTTCTTGTATGGTAGTTGGTCTAAGAGGGTTTTGAAATATTGCATTAGAAAGGTTGTTGCTTAAATTTTTCGCACATTCTGTGTAGGGCTCCATGTTAACTTTTATTTATTTTGGGATTCTAGTTGGGATGCTTTGAAGCTGTGTGTAGTGTCCCCTGGTTTCCGAGGTAACTGTTGTGGAGAGGTGCCACTAGCGCTTTCTCTGTACCCCCACTGATAAGTAAATTCCCATCTGGGCTACACCGCATTCTCAGCCTATCACTGCCTGTCTGACACACAGTCACGGCACCCGAAGACTCATAGCACCATAATCTCTGCACTCCTGTATAGACGTTATGGTGTTTACACTGCTAGTCAAAAGAATAAGATACCCAATAGTTTCCTTCTTGGGGTCTATACACCAGTGTAGACACTCCAGTAGTGTCCAAAGGGCTTAACCCCAATAATAACACAGGAAAGATTCACCTAATCCACAATAAAATGGACGAGGTAAAAACTGGAAAAATGTAATCCGTATCCTGAGGTAAATGGGATCACAGTCCACTCTGCATGCACCAATACATACACTTTATGCACATTTTAAAAAAAGAAAAAGAAAAGTATATTAAAACAAACCCAACATTTCAAATCCGCCTCCCACCCGACCAACACTTGATCACCTTCGGTCTAGTTTTTGGGGGTACTACTAAAACATTGGTTTGTAATATTGGACAACAAAGTGGCTTTCACTAATCTTGCAATACCACTGCCCTATGGATCTGAATTTCCTGTATGTTCTACAACATGCTGTACTTGGACTTTTTTATGAAAATGGCGAAACCCCTCTTACACACTTTATTTTATTTCTTCTCAGCTACAAGAATTGGGACACCCACCAAAAGAGCTGGCTGGAGATTCTGTAAGTTCCCCCACCCAATATAATTGGGAATATTAACCTTCAATTGTTACTTCAAGCATCATAAACACTGCAGCACGCTGTAAAGGATATGATTCCAGGAGTACCCTGGTCCTTTTTTCCTGGTAATGGGTCAAACACTGAAGTGGTTATGGTGCTTGGCGCAACCATTTTATATTCATTTCTAAACAATACTATGCTTCACTCTCCTGTATGTAAAGACACTGTTTTTAGTTTCCCTGCTTTACACCGTATTGCTAGACTTTGGTAACATACTAGGTCATAAAAATTAAATGTAAAGATTTTCTTTAAGTTTATTTAAAAAAAAAAAAAAAAACACAAACATTTCCGGTGCTAAAGGCTCCCCCTGTCGCATTTACTTCTCCACTTCCCATGACGTCAGGGAGGAGGCATGGCGTCCTAGGCTGATTTCCAATCCAGTATTCCTCATAGAGGAGACCATACAACTGTGATTAGAATGAAAACTCACAAAACACTGGCACAAAATATTTTGTACAACTGTGTTTTTAGTCGGGATCATGGTTTATTTTGGTTTTTTTGCCATCACCTTCAGATTGCAAGGCAGAGGTCTATCGAATCTCAGTCCACAAAGACAGTCTTCCAGAATGATTGGTTCTCTGGTAAAAAAATAAATAAAAACTAAAATATCAAAGATTATAAGTTTAGGCCACTGACCTCCTTACAGCAGTACCGCTGTGACATCTGAATCTAGCTGAATGCATTTAATCTTTTAAACCTTTTGTATTTACATTCTCCCATACTAGAAGACCTGCATTGTAGATTGTGGACATAAAGATTTGTAGGACACTGACCTTGACACCCGGAGATGATAAAATGATGGCGCCTGGTTGGGGAAGATGTCATCCAATAGTGCAGTTCAGCAAATTCACTTTTGTATGCCAATAGTTTTGTGTTTTTAAAAGTTAGGGTTTTTGTTTTATTTTAATATTTTATAAGTGTGCGTAGTTTAAGTTGGTGTCTGGAGTGTCCCTCTAAGTAAATATACTCAAACGTAAATGTACTTCAATATAATATGTGCATGCTTACTGGTTCTAATCATATTTACTTAAATTTAATTAATGTTTTTTTTTTTTTTTTTTAGCCTCCAGGTTTCAATTTTGACCTCGATGGATTGAACCTCTCTAATTCTGGGAATGCCAGTGGGGAGCAGTGTTTGATCATGTGATTTGGTTTCTGCCATCCAATCAGAATGCAGTAAGGGGACAATCTCTTCCTCTCACTACTGACCCTGTTTAGCACCTGTGGAGCAGGGATCAACACATGGGACACACAACCTCTCCCGTCTCGAGCAAGTGTGCTCAGTGCAGAATGATAGTTTCTGAGTTTGGTGATGTCTGCTAATAACAGTACTGTTTTTGTGATTACCAAGACGCCTTAAAATTAGCCCAACATTTAAGAATGGATGACAAAAGTTAGACCTCTTCCAGTTTGGTAATGCTTAATGGCTAGGTTAGCAGTATTAATTAGTTTGGTATTGGCACTTTAATATTAGGAGGGTTTACTCACCAAACCAGCTGTTGCAGGGAACTTTAGGCCAAAGTAGCTGAACTATTAAAAGCAAAGTTAAAAGCTATTTAGACTCGAATTGTTGCATCCCTCATTTCTCAGCACTCGCTGGTTCGGTGAAAAATCCCTAGTAGGTTGTACCCATTTAAATTGGATTCCTAACCCTGTACCATATCATATGTCTACTAATATACATAGCCGTCTGAGCTGCATTGCAAATACATAATTATCTGCAGGACAGTAACATATCATTTAAAAAAAAAAAAAATTGGTTTTTTTTTTTCCTTTCTATTCAGCTTGAGTGATCTAAAAGGGGCTTTGTCTATTAAATATGTTGGACCGCAGACGATGGGAGTAGACCATATAAAGCAATGGAGCATACGGTTTAATTGATGTTTTAAAATGATCTCAAACAGGCTCTAATGTAACTTTTTTTTTTTTTATATATATATTTTTGTCACTCCCTGTGTACTTGTCCGTCTCTGCGGTAAAGCAACGCTTTTTTTTTTTTTTCTCGGTAGGATGCAGGTCTTGGGCTTTTTCAGCCTTGATGCTGATAAAGCGTTATGAGAAATCTAGTGCTACATTTTTAGTGGCTACTTTTTAGCACATCCCTGCTATAAGTGTGCAATGTTAGCTCTCCTACATGTCCCAGAATCCTCCACCCCTTCAAGCTGTGACTTCCTATGAGTTTGTGTTTGCTCTGCATGCGTAATGTATGGATTGTGTTGTGTAAGATGCTTATATGGGCTGGACGAGGTTGCACTGGAGCAAAGGATAAACTACAACCCTGCTCGGAAAGGACCGTTATTAAAACAGATGTAATAACTTGGTACAGATCTAGAGCTGATTAATAAAACGGTAATTATTTATTTTTTTAATGGTGCCAGTGTGGGTTTTGTTTTTCATTTCACCGCTATAATGTAAAATGTGGCTGCTTAGTTCTAAAAGGAGACGTGAAGACCGCTGTAAATGCTGAACAGGTGTGCACGAGTCTGTGAAAGTACAGCTGGGCAGGTGCCCGTGACCTTGAGTCCGATAACCGTTGTTTCCAACCCAAAATAACTCAAAATTTGCACCATGGGCACTTGAAAGAGAGGAAAGCAAACAAAGGGGAATAGTAATTAAAAACACAGTGAGGATTATGGATAAACCGCATAAATGCAATATTATTAAAATAAATCTTTTTCTGCTTTGAGTAGTGTAAGGCCAAGTAACTGGCACACCAACAACACAAAAAAAATAAAGTGGAGTGCCATGATGCAAGTCTCATTGCCAGGTGTGCTGGCCAACTTCCCTCAGGGAAGCTCTTTTGAAAGGCTCCATGCCCCGAGCTTAGCTCGCTCATATGAATGCAACTAGTGCTGTAGATATGCTGTGTTTGTTAGGGATGGTTACCTGGTGTCCCAGAAGTGGGATATGGGAGATAAAATCCCGGACATGCATACCATTATAATTGCATACTACCCAACATTGCAGGGTGGGCTAGGACTGCTGAGAAGTGAGCCAGTGCTATTGAAGAGCAATGGAGGACACACAGGAATATTTAAAATATTTTAACAAAATGCCTAGTTGCAGACTGTGAAGTACGGAAAAGAAACATAGAAACATAGAATGTGACGGCAGATAAGAACCATTCGGCCCATCTAGTCTGCCCAATTTTCTAAAAACTTTCATTAGTCCCTAGCCTTATCTTATAGTTAGGATAGCCTTATGCCTATCCCATGCATGCTTAAACTCCTTTACTGTGTTAACCTCTACCACTTCAGCTGGAAGGCTATTCCATGCATCCACTACCCTCTCAGTAAAGTAATACTTCCTGATATTATTTTTAAACCTTTGTCCCTCTAATTTAAGACTATGTCCTCTTGTTGTGGTAGTTTTTCTTCTTTTAAATATAGTCTCCTCCTTTACTGTGTTGATTCCCTTTATATATTTAAATGTTTCTATCATATCCCCCCTGTCTCGTCTTTCCTCCAAGCTATACATGTTAAGATCCTTTAACCTTTCCTGGTAAGTTTTATCCCGCAATCCATGAACCAGTTTAGTAGCCCTTCTCTGAACCCTCTCTAAGGTATCAATATCCTTCTGAAGATACGGTCTCCAGTACTGTGTACAATACTCCAAGTGAGGTCTCACCAGTGTTCTGTACAATGGCATGAGCACTTCCCTCTTTCTACTGCTAATACCTCTCCCTATACAACCAAGCATTCTGCTAGCATTTCCTGCTGCTCTATTACATTGTCTGCCTACCTTTTAAGTCATCAGAAATAATCACCCCTAAATCCCTTTCCTCATATGTTGAGGTTAGGACTCTATCAAATATTCTGTACTCTGCCCTTGGGTTTTTACGTCCAAGATGCATTATCTTGCACTTATCCACATTAAATGTCAGTTGCCACAATTCTGACCATTTTCCTAGTTTACCTAAATCATTTGTCATTTGGCTTATCCCTCCTGGAACATCAACCCTGTTACATATCTTAGTATCATCAGCAAAAAGACATACCTTACCATCAAGACCTTCTGCAATATCACTAATAAAATATTAAAGAGAATGGGTCCAAGTACAGATCCCTGAGGTACCCCACTGGTGACAAGTCCAAGCTTTGAATATATTCCATTAACTACAATCCTCTGTTGCCTGTCACTCAGCCACTGCCTTACCCATTCAACAATATTGGAATCCAAACTTAAAGATTGCAGTTTATTGATAAGCCTTCTATGTGCAACAGTGTCAAAAGCCTTACTGAAATCTAGGTAAGCAATGTCTACTGCACCACCCTGATCTATAATTTTAGTTACCCAATCAAAAAAATCAATAAGATTAGTTTGGCATGATCTCCCTGAAGTAAACCCATGTTGTCTCTGATCTTGAAATCCATGTGTTTTTAGATGCTCATCAATCCTATCCTTTAACATGGTTTCCATCACTTTCCCCACTACTGAAGTAAGGCTTACTGGCCTATAGTTGCCCGACTCCTCCCTATTACCTTTCTTGTAAATGGGCACAACATTCGCTAACTTCCAATCTTCTGGGACTACTCCTGTTAACAATGATTGGTTAAATAAATCTGTTAATGGTTTTGCTAGTACACCACTAAGCTCTTTTAATAGCTTTGGGTGTATTCCATCAGGTCCCATTGACTTATTTGTCTTTACTTTTGACAGTTGAGATAGAACCTCTTCCTCTGTAAACTCACGTGTAATAAATGACTCATTTATCCTTTTTCTCAACTGAGGTCCCTTTCCTTCATTTTCTTCTGTAAATACAGAACAAAAATATTCATTGAGGCAGTCAGCCTGACCTTTATCCTCTTCTACATACCTTCCTTCTTTTGTTTTTAATCTAACTAATCCTTGTTTTACTTTTCTTTTCTCATTTATGTATCTAAAAATGTTTTATCCCCCTTTTTTACTGACTGTGCTATTTTCTCTTCTGTGTGTGATTTGGAAGCTCTTATAACTTGCTTAGCCTCTTTCTGCCTAATCTTATAGATCATTTTGTCTCCCTCACTCTGGGTTTTTTTATAATTCCTAAATGCTAACTTTTTGTTTTTAACTATTTTGGCCACATCTGCGGAGTACCACAGTGGTTTCTTGAATTTTTTGCTTTTACTGACAAGCCTAATGCAATTTTCTGTTGCCTTCAATAGTGCAACTTTTAAATAATCCCATTTTTCTTGGACTCCATTTAAATTGCTCCAGTCTGATAATGACTCCTCTACCCATATTCTAATTTTAGAAAAGTCTGTTTTTCTAAAGTCTAAAACTTTTGTTTTTGTGTGGTGTGACTCAGTCACTGTTCTTATATTAAACCACACTGACTCATGATCACTGGATCCTAAACTTTCACCTACAGTAACATCTGATACTAAATCTCCATTTGTTAACACTAAATCTAGTATGGCCTCTTTACGAGTTGGCTCCTCAACAACTTGTTTTAGAGACAAACCCAGTAGGGAGTTTAGAATATGTGTGCTCCTGGCACAAGTAGCTAATTTTGTTTTCCAAAAGAAACTTGCTATTTAATAGATACATTTTGCCTGAGCAGGACCTTAAAATTTGCACTGTCCTGACAAGAAAATTGGACAGTACTACTCAATGAACCCGAGACAGTTGTGAAAAATGGTAGTATGGCAGGAAGGTCAACCCCGACCTGAATTACAACTCCCACTTGTCTTTGTCAGCATTAAGGGGAATTTAATACTATGTTTACTTATTTCCCCCTATCTAAAGGGCGAATCCAAACTTTATTAATTTATAATGGACTATTGGGCAATATTAACTATGTCTTCCCCACGTTTATTAGTGCCAAAACCCTATTAAATTAAAGGGACACTGTAGGCACCCAGACCACTTCAGCTCATTGAAGTGGTCTGGGTGCTGTGTCTCTATTGCACTTGGTGCTCCAATGGAAAACATTGCAGTTCCAGAGAACTGCAATGTTTATTTTGCAGTTCTAAGTCTGCTTTCTGTGGCTGTCTACCAGAGGGCTTCCTGAATCCTAACAGACTTTTGGTCCGTTATCTGATGCTGGACGTCCTCACGCTCTGCATGAGAACCTCCAGCGTCAGATTTTCCGCAATAGGAAAGCATTGAATAATGCTTTTTTCTAAGGGGAGGAATAAAGCGCATGCAAACATTGCCGCGTATGGGCGTTAGGTCACCCCCGCATGTGGGCAGAGCGCGCTGGATTCAGGTAAGTCGCTGGAAAATTGCTTTGTTTTCCTGGCACTATAGAATTCCTTCAAGCATTTCATTTTAACATGGAGGGAGGGAGTGACAGAGGTGGGTATTTAAAAAGACAGTCCATGTAAGGAGGCTTATAGGTAGCAGAGATATACGCTTCCCCTTATCGAAGATGATTACTTCTGTTGCCAGCACACGGCAAGACAGATGTAATTTTTGCATAAAATTAACATTAGGCTGCCCAGAGTCACGTCCAAGGCTACCTGCATCACATGTGTCTGGGTGTAACTAACCAACATCACAAAACTGCAAATATCTCTGTATGTGTATAGATATACGGACTATTGCACATATCATCTCTGTAAGTATCTAGATACACGGAAACACTGTATGTGTATAGCTATATACGGATCCCCAGATGTTGTAGAACTACTAGTCCGATAATGCTTTGCATGCCTTTAGAATGACAAAGCCTCATGGAAGTTGTAGTTTTAAAACATCTAGGGTCCTACATTTTTGGCATCCCCTGATCTAGATACACAGAAACTCTTCACATATCTCTGTATGTGTATTGATACATGGAAACGCTGCAGCTATCTCTGCATGTATCTAAATATACAGAATATACATAAACAATGCAGATATTTCTGTATGAATCAAGATATATGAACACACTGCACATATCTCTGTATGTATCTATATATACGGAAACAGTGTTGATATATCTGTATGTGTATAGATCAGGAGTGCCCAAAAGGTAGATCCTCAGATGTTGCAGAACTATAACTCCCATGATGCTTTAAATGCTTTTAGAATGACAAAGCATATGAAAGCTGTAGTTTTAAAACATAGTGATCTACCTTTTTAGCTCCCCTGATGTAGATATACGTAAACACTGCATATATCCAGACATCCCAACTCTCCCTGTAGATCCAGGAGTCTCCTGCATTTTTAATACTGCTCACTGACACCTGCAAATCAAACAATTTCCCAGAAATCACACACACACAATCTGACATGTGGGACAAATGTGTGTATGTGCCAGTGTGTATCTGTAGGTCAGTATGTTTCTGTATGTCAGTGTGTATCTGTGTGTTAGTTTGTGTGTGTCAGTGTGTATCTGTATGTCAGATTGTATGTGCCAGTATGTATCTGTAAGTCATTTTGTGTGTTTGTGCCAGTGTGTATCTGTAAGTCAGTTTGTGTTTGTGCCAGTGTGTATCTGTAAGCAGGGCCGGATTAACATAGGGGCTGATGGAGCTGCAGCTCCAGGCCCAGGCCCATGGAA